GAGATTTTTTTAATGAGATTAGTTTCAAAACTGAGGCATTTTTGAGGTGGTATTTGTATCACACAAAAATGTATTAGGGTTATAAGTCTAGCAGGTGCCCAGTGAGCAGGGAGAAAGGTGGCTCCGCTTGTCTCTCTCTGTGTGCGTTACTGAATCATGGCCAGTACCTCATCTGAATACTGTCTCCATCCTTGTCTGACTGTCACAATGAAAGATGTGAAGATGGAACAGTTGCAAATCTCAAAAGCAGTTGTAGGGAGTGTTAGCACTGTGTTTCCTCAGCATGCTACGTACCACTTAAAAGTGAGAATTCTTTTTATCGTTAGACTTTGAACGTTAGCTTTTAATGTGATTTGGGAAACGTGACTTCGAATTCGTTTTTTGGGGGTTTGATTTTGTCTTTCCAAAGAATAGCAGCTGGTTTTATATTACGAGCAGTTTGGAACTGCATCTGTCTTTGTTCGGTTTGTACAGAGCGTAGTATGGCGAGAGCCTGATGCACGCCTCTATCTCAACAGTAACTATAATAAATAATAATGTGTTCTGACATCATTTTTGTTAATAGTCACCTATGTTGGTTTGTTCCCTCAGCTTTCTCTGTTAGAAGATGCAGGGTTTGGTGGTGTTCTTCTTTACGTTGATCCTTGTGACTTACCAAAGACTGCAGATCTTGCTGATAAAGCTTTTATGGTTTCCTTGAACAGCGGAGGGGATCCATCAACACCTGGTTATGCCAGTATTGGTAAGTACTGTTCAAGGCATATTGGGTTAATGGACATTTTAATTCTCTCTAGATTGTAAGGATGGGAGTTAAAACACTAAACCAAATCCTGCCTGAAACAGAAACTCTGAGTAAGGGAACACGGAGTAATGCATGGCTCAAAGAATGGAATCCGATCTCAAAAGTACTTGCACAAAGTCTGTACTCTTAACTTATTTTGTTGATTTTTGTATTTGTGTGTTCACACACTGAACCATTATTCCTGCCTTCTTATTCTTATCCCATGGCAAAAAAAAAAAAAGCTGTGAAGTACTAATCTTGTGGTTTCTGAGCAGGTTCCATGGGATCTGTCCCCACTGACAGTATTCTTCCCTTCATTCTGTCTTCCACTTTCATGGTATTGGTAATGGAAACTTCTGGTCAATAGGTGTAAGTGCAATTGAATAGGGTGTGTTCATTCAGCCTTCTCAGTTCTGCCTGGATAGACTTGGTTGTCAATTATGCTTTTCTAAATACATGTATTTTCAAAGTATGAGAAATAAATAATTGATTTTAAGGAACTGCATAGTCTTTTCTAAGTTTAAGAGGGGTTTTTTTTAAAGCGGTGTTAACAATAAAAAGAAGCAGCAATGTATTTGACTTGTACGTACTACTTAAATCTCCATTCTGGCAGTTCAGTGAATGTGTCTTCTGCTTCTCTGCTGCCTTTTCAGCTTTACAGCCTTTTTTACTGTCTAACTATTTGGAAATGTATTAAGCAGCAGTCTATGAGTTTGTGACAAGGCTTCATCAAGAATATTTGGTCTGGTTACTAGCTCAGACATCTAAAGTCTGACTTGAATTGGCACTAAATCAACTGAGGCAACACTGGGGTACTTCATGACTGGAATGGCAGAAAATAGAAATATTTGCCTGGTTGTCAAAGAAGGGTGTTAGCTATTCACAGCATGAATGCCTTGACAGCTCAGTGGGAAAGAAATTGCACATTTTCTCGGTGTCTCAGTGTACCTGACCCAGTGTTCTTAAAAGTGCCCTGGGAGCCACAGAGGTAAATATAACACTCTTTAAGCTTTATTCTTGCTCATTTCATGGAGCTATTCGAAAAACAGTTTGTCGTTTATCTGTCTGGCTGACTCTTTAATGTTTTATTTACCCTATATGAAAAGTAAAGCTAATTAAAACAGATATAGCAACATGAACATGCCACTTCAGTGTCTAAAACTTATGCATAGGTTTTCTGTCAGTAAATGATCTCGTTGACAGTGTGCATTCCAATCTCCAGTTTGAGAAAAAGAAGCTTAATTCTATGGAAGATGTTGATAAAAGTACATTGATGGTTTCTACTAGAACCCTTAGTGCAGCTTGTCTGTGGTTTTAAATCTCTGAGCAACATTCATAAGCAGGAAGAGGCTATCATGTTCCTAAAATCTTTTATATTTTGATCACTGAATGCAATGATGAGCTGGAAAGAGCTCAAAGGGACGCTTGAGGAAACTCTTCTTTATGGTTCTGTCACTGGAAGGTAGATCAGATAGTAATTTCTGTGTTTCTGATGCTGTTTCTCTTCTCTGGAGACTATGAGTCAATTTGGTGAGAGGTAGCTTATGCCTGGGACAAATACAAATACGTCTGGAGTGCAGACATTTGCCTGAGGGGTGTGCTTGCATGTAAGGTAGCTAAACTGACTACAAGTAGAATAAAAGTGCCAGGTACCCAGGGTTGTCCCTATCACTTTGATTCACAGACTGTAACATGCACTACAAGAGATTTTGTTGGAAGCTCTTGCTTAAGTTATTGGCGTATCTTTGATACCATCTGCACTTCACACATTGCCAAAAGAACTGTTACTATTACAATCTCAGGGACTGCTCCTACCACCATTTTCCCTTTTACTAGGAAATTTCTAGTAAGATGAGTGATCCAAAGTTAGTCTTGTACTAAGTGATTAAAAGGTAGGAAACTATTTTCGTGCTGCTGCCAATGTTTCTCACATTCTTTTTAGTCTGAAAACAATTTTTTTCTGTGGTGTCAGAGTATTGGACTGCTTCAGGTTTTTTTCCTACAAAAAAACATCTTCAGGAATTGATACCATTTAAAGATCTCTTCTCAAAGTTGACGACATTTTCAAATGAGGTTTATGTAATAGAGAGAACTTTGGAGTTCTCATGAGGTTTTAGCTCAAATTTTCTGTTTCATAAAGATTAAATGCTGCGTTTCTGCATATGAATTATTTTAGAATGTACAGAAATAGCTTGCGGATGGCTTTGAGATGCCTGCTACCTATGAGTGGAATGATTTTTTTGGTCTCTGTTTAATAAAGGGAAAAAAAGTAATGATGTGGAAAGGAAGCGAACAGCACTTATGTAAAAGTTTCCGCAGCATTGCTTGACAATTTAATTCTTCTGTTCTTAAGACACTTCAATGCTGTCGTATCAGTCCTGAAACAATCATGTGAGCCTTTGTGAGCATCAGTTCTGTCTTCCTGATTCTGATTGCCAAAGACTAGTAGCCTCCATTTTTAGAAATCTTTCTTCTATCTTCCTGCTCTTGAAATGAAACAGATCCAGTGGGTGGGGCTCGTAGAATTAAACATATGGGATTAAGAAGCTTGAGAGGGAGATAAGAGACTTAGGTGGCAAAAATTATCCTTAAAATAAAGCTTAGAAGAATAGCGTAAAACTTAAGTGACTTCCCCCATCTGCTTTTTTTTTCCATTTTTACTTTTTGAATGCTGCACTTCCTTTCACCTGCCTTTGTATGGCAGACACATACTAGATTTCTCCATTGCTAGACTTCAGAGCCATTTTAAATCAAATTTGTTTCCACGCAAGAAATGGCTCAGTAAACAAAAATATGGATAAGAGCCTATTTGTCAATCCTAGTATGTAAATAGAAAAGTGGCATTGTGATAAGCATTAAGAACCCTGCCCCTGAGATAAGGTACCTCATAATGGAATCCCTATCTGTGCAGTGGTGGAATAGAATTCAGACAGCGTCATGGAAAATACTGTGAGCTTAAAAATGCTGAAGTATAACAGCCGTAAAATACAATCTTATGCTATCAGCTGGAGTTTCAAGTGTAATGTTGTGTTAGAGAATTGTTACACAGAGGTTATAACAGTAAGGCAAAGTGGTATATATTTGGAAGTAGTCCATGCTTCAGGTCACTGTTAACCGCTTGTCATGTGAGCCATATTACAGGGATTGGGGTGAAAAAATCAGTAACACGCAGAAATGCACGGTGTCCCTAGAACTGCGAATAGTGAACATGATTCAGGCAGAGGAATTGACGTGAGCATTCCTCAAACATTGCTAACAGGATTTGATTTCAGAGGAAGGGACAAGGAAGATGAGGTATCAGTGGGGTGCTGGTCTGCTGCAGGCCACAGCTGAGCCCGTCAGCAAAGTTGGTAGTGCCTCTGAGAACGTCTTTAAGAAAGGACAAGAATGCTGGACAGGCAGGGGAGTGAAACTGAGCCTGGAAGAAGGCAGGGTGAAGGTGCTGCTTTAATCTTTTTGGTTTTGTTTCTCATTATCCAAATCTGTTTTCATTGGCAGTAGGTGACAGTGTTTTGCCCATGATGGTAATTGTGTGTGAGTGATCTCCCTGCCTTTGTCCTGACCAATGAGTTTTTCCATCTTATTTTCTCCCCCTATCCTGTTGAGTAGGGGGAGTGAGAGCACAGCTGGGTAGGTGTCTGGAAGCTAGCCAAGTTTAACCCGCTACGCTGTGTTCTCCAGCGTAAGTTAAAGAACGCGAAATATGCATCATAAAAAGTCCGTGGCATTCAACTACGCTGTGTTCTCCGTGTTGTGATAAATACAGCGTAAGTTAAAGAACGCTAAATATGCATCATAAAAAGTCCGTGGCATTCACCTCTTTAGTCATGTGTCATTCTTTAATTGAGCTTAGCCAGCTCTTCTGCAGGGAACTACTGCTGCTATGTGGAATATGGGTAAGTAAGTACATGCTGTGGTGGAAATGTATGCCTACTTTATTCTTAGTCAGCCTTGTGATTCTGTATGTTTATCTGCTTCCTCCTCATATCTGAGTTTATCCTTACTGAACTTTACTTCATGATACTTTACTCCTCTGAAGCAACCAGCTGAGCAGAAGTTAACTAGAAAATAGTACGTTGTGTAACAGTTTTAACCATGCATATGCAACATATGTTCTAAAATGTTTTGTTATAAATCATCATGACTTTTTTTACAAGATGTCCTCAGCCCTGGTTGTCTGTTCTTCTAAAGAACAAAACACAGTTATAAGGATACAAGGATAGTTTTTCTATGCTTGCCTTTGCAGTTGTGGAAGTGATCCTGGGAATTTTTTTTTTTTCAAAATTTGTGTTTACTTTCTGCTAATAACATCAGATAAATGAAATATGAGGACAACTTGGTGTAAAATAGCTGTCTACATTCAGGTTTCTGGTGTTTTTTGTTTTGTTTATATTTCTTAAGGGCAGACTGAAGCTGGGGAGAAAGAAAAGCTTACAGTGTCATATTTTAATTTAGATGTGTATTTATATATGTTTACATATACTCTTGATCATTTTATTTTTTACTTATGACATAATTTCAGTGGTTGCCGTTAAAAAAAACCCTACACCTCATTACTGTTCTATCTGATACAGTGTGTTATTTTCTGTATTAAAAAAACCCAACTAAATCTGTGCTAATGCAATAGAGAGATAAATCTTAAGCAAATACTGGCTTTTGAATAGTGAGCACAGTAAGTAATAATTTCAGCAGATTTTCAATAATACTTCTAGCACTAAGAGCTCAAAAGTATCTGAATCCATGATCTGCATCTTCAGATTTCACAGGACACAATAAAGCAACTAAGTTTGTATTTAAATACCAAATTACATGCTCTGAGTTTTTGTGGGTTTTAGGTTTTCCTTGTCTGGCTTTCAATTGGTGTTGCATGTATTTAAAACTGAGAAAATCAGTTGGACATCAGGATATTTTAGTCTCAGGTTTGTGTGTGTGGACCTCTGTATTGTATGTCAGGTATCATCTTATATTCTATTAAGTTGCTTATAATTTATCTTGGGGGGAGGAAATATATTTGAATTGAAAATGCAGTGATTTTATCAGTAAGATTAAGGGGAGAAATTACTGCCAATGGTACTGCAATGCCTTGCTAGCAATGTTTGTATATTTGACTCTTGCAAATGCCATGCGGAGCCATATGGTCAAAACTTTTCTCAATTTCAAACAGAAAATTATTTTAAAATGTGCATTTAAGACAGTAATGGAATATACAAGTGGTAAATGCCAAATTATTAGGGGAAAAAACAAACAAACAAACAAAAAAAACCCAAAAAACAAATCCAAACCCAAATCAATGCTTTCTATGCTGCAGAATTAGTTGAGTGGAAAACATATGGTCTAAATACTTTCTGATGCCTTAGAAGTTGGAGAGGACTCCTCAGTATTTTTGATCTTTCAGACAGTTTCAAACTACTAAACAGCTTTGACTCCCTACAGAACATTTTCCAGTGAAGCTACTGTGTCTCTCATCCATCAAAAATAGCATTTTAAATGATGTCCAGATTAAAAATTTGAGGCTACTCAACTTGCGAGTTTAGCATATTTAAAACTTTTGTGCAATCATGACTGAAAATAATCCTGCCATCGTTTTACTGACATGATATTTCAGCTCAGCGTAATTTGTGCGAGTGAGATAATTTATTACGTACTCATGAAACCGCAAACATCACTGTATGGCAGTAAGTCTAGCAAGTGTATTGGAATCTTCTACTACAAAAGCATGGGTGCCTGCAGAGTCTACTGGAAATCAACTGTCTTTGCATGGGCTGAGAATCCAGGACGGGGGGCTGCTTTTATAGCATCAGGAAGTTTTGTGAGAACTCCCTTGCACTCCCATATACAACTCCTGGCTGGAGTATGGGAATGATGTTAAGAAGCAGATGAGACCCAAGACAGGGTATTGAGGAAATATTCTAGATTTATGTGTATGAATGAGGAAATGAATTACTTTTGTTTGCAAAGGTAGAGGGATGGATAGTTGTATGTTTCCTCACATAGCAATATATAATGATCCAGTTTAAGAACCAGCTAAGCTCTGACCTGACTGTCAGCTAGAGGCCAATTTTATGGAGCACTCTCTGTTGCCAGTCATTTGCTACTGAATACCCTTCTCTGTGCATTACTGTGGTTCTTCTAATCCTGTGTCTTTCACAGGTTTTTCCAGTGACTTCATTTTGTTTCAGGTGGGGTTTGTTTTCTTTCAGAACTCGATTAAGATAATGTTCCTTGACATGTTTTCATTCAGCAGTGTCAAGCGGATAGGCAGGAAAGTTTAGCAGTATTTGTACATGAAATCTGAGTTTATAGCGAGAACATGCATAG